CAAGGGATGGCATATCATTGGAGTCACTAATCAAAGGTCTGACGCTCTCATCAGTGATGGACGGGTGGGTTGGCTCGCATATGAAGCACCAGTAGGTCAGTGCCATCAATACGGGTATGAATAGCATCACTAATAGCGTATTCTTTGGACTCAAACCCCAAGAGGTTAGCAACGCGTAAGACATGGACCCTAAGAGACCGGACGCACCGGTACCTGAAGACCAGTAGGATATGACTCGTGAGTCAAACTTCGAGGTATAGGACAGGAACGTAGTCTCGCCTAAACCACTGGACAGGGAGGCGCACACAATACCTGTCCATAAATGGCATAATTAACATCATTTCAGAGATAATAAGACCACTCTTAAGACCTACCGATGTATGAAAAGTAGATATTCATCGACAGCGACGTTATGATGAAACTGAGCGCCGATAGTATGACCACAACCGACACCCGGAGGCTATCATATCAACAGACATGCCGTAAGACACGGTGTGCCCGCACAAGTGGTCCAACAAAAGGTATACTTAGTGTTCGTGAAGACAAATGGGGCCAAGAGTTTGACTATAAGACAGGGAAGTATGTCAGCGATTAGGACGGCGCCGGTGGACATGGAGTTACAGCCCTTCCCATCATCACCACTACCACCACCTTTGGGTTCGTGTCCCTACAGGTGTGTCCACACAAACAAAACAACTGTCCGTTAGTCTAGTGATCATCAAAACTAATCACACGTCATATGGAGGTGTAGGTGCCGTACGGGACATACATTAATGATATCGTAGGCGGCGCTCAACATAATAACATACGAATAGTTGTTACTTAAGCCCAAAATCCTGTCAATTAAACACAATTTCAATGAATAAAAAGTTTTCAAAACTTTTCAAATCCACACAAAATCGATACCAAAATGAGATATAATTGCGGTATTTGTGCCAAAAAGCCATATTATCTCCTATTGTGCCACCAATTGGTCCGCAAACAGACTTCTCCTCAAACTTTTACATCCATTTCCGGCCGACCGTTGCGTTCACTGTCTGTCACAACAACGGGCTATAAGTGTCGACAATATCTCTGGACTGCACTTCAAATCACTGATCATTTGCTGTCAAAAATGCGATCAAAACACAAATCATATGTTTTTTTAAACGCAATGTTTATCACAGTTTTGGCGCTAATTTTGAAAACCACTAAAATTTTATAGTGAATATGAATTTCATTACTTTATTTCAATTTCAACACAATTAACGCAAAACTAATTTATTCGTAAATTAGAAAAATACACATTTTTACATAATATCTCATCAATAAAATAAATAAATACATCATAAAGTGATTACAAAAAAACATGTATAAAAATCAGAGCATATCCTGAGTGCCTGTCCACTCACTCTCAGATCAATTAGTGATTTACAACTCAATCGAGTAAATCATAAATAAATTTCCAAAAAATAAATAAATACTTCAATATATATATATATATTTGACATACAATTCAAACAAAAAGGTCACAAAAAAAACTCCTAAACAACGGATAGCCACCAAAAACACTGTCAAACAAATCACTTCAACAACTCATTCAAGAGCTCCTGTTTCGTGACGCTCTCGAGTGGACCCGATTTGGCGGCCAAGTCGAGGGCAGTCGTGAGGTCCCACACCTGGAGGTGTCCGTTGGAATGACCGGTCAGTATATACCTTCGCGAACAGTTACCCATCGCCACGGCCTCGCACTCGTGCACGCAGTAGGCGGTGATCAGCGCGCTGTCCACCGACCGCAGCGTACATATCTTGACGCCATTGCTGGCCATCAAGACGTTCGCCGAATCCGTTTCCGTACGGAAGCGCTCGATGAACACCTGCTTCTCGCCGTCGTCCTGATCGCCATACGGGCCCACACTGTAGCCGCTGTTGGCGGCGCCCCCTTTGCCCGACACCGGCTCCACCACCTCGTCGTCGTCCGCCTCCTCGTCCAGCAAACTCTCGTCAAACTTAATGATACGGAACGAGGCGTACGGCGTAGAGCCGGGTTGGGTGGATATGCGCCCCCGGAAGCGGGTCATAGTCCACGTGCGGACATGCATTCGGTTGCAGACACTAATCAAGTACTTCTCGCTCAGCATAATCCTCTCGATGCCATTCAAGTGGACTTTGAACGTCTGGAACAGTTGCGGCCCGTGGCCTACCGTCTCCGGGTGCTGTACTAACACGCGTACAGTTCCGGCTACCCGTCCGCCAAAAAAAGACACACACAATCATTAGAACAAACCCATACAACACTCCCCACCAAACAGGCCATACCTTTGGTGCCGTACGCGATCTCCACCCAATTGCCATTGGTTTTGGGCGTACGGGTCAGGTAGCAGGAAATGGCGGTGATTTGCTCCCTTTCCGGGTCCTCATACAACTCGTTGATGAGTAGGTCCCCGTCCTTCATACGCAACGGGAACTTCTGCATATCGATGAGGTATATGGAGCCCAGCGCCGACCCCAGTAGCAAAAAATTACAGCCGGCCTTATCGTAGGCCGTGATGGCCGCCGCGTCGGTCGTCCCCTGTTTCAGGTCCTGCACTAACCAGTGCTGTGACGACGAGTGCCACACGCCTACCCGTCCCCTCTCGTTGCCCAACGCCACTAAAAACAATCAATAATTAGGGCATTCTTTACAACAAATAAATCCATTTCCTGTACCCAATTGAGAGCCAATGAAAAACATTGAATTTATATAACAGTTGTTGAGATGAAAGCGTCCGATCTCTTGCTTCTGTTGACTGCACCCAATTCCAGCACTACCTGCGCCCTCAGCACCACCACCACCACCGCCGCCACCAGTGTTCGTATGATTATACAGCGACACAGTGATGGACCACAAGCGGATGACCGACACCTGATCCTTGATGGCCAGCATGAGCTTCGGGCCCGTGAGCGGCGATACCCCGCAGTTGTAGTAAAAGGCGATCTCAGCGATGGACTGCTCGATGGGCTGCGACTCGAACACCAACTGCCAGCCCATCGTATCCTTGAGCCGATAGCAGGTCACGATGTGGTTGTGCGCCACGGCTATGGCGTTGTGGTGGGCGACCACCTGACGCACGGGCTCCGACACGTTGCGGGCGCGTATGTGCGCCTGGAACAGGAGGTCGCCGCCGCACGTGGGCTTCCGGTGCAGCCGTTCGCACAGCTGTAGGCGCCGCACGAGTGGCGTAATGCCGTAGAACTGGCTCTCGTGGAGCAACATATCCAGGCGCTGGTCGTCCGACGCCGTGTCGAACAGCTGTCGCGTCCGCAGGTAATGGAGGATAACGGCGAACAGCTTGGGATCCCTGTCCACAAAGATAGCGCCCGACGAGTCCCGCAGCGACGGTATGCGTCCCGACAGGAGGGCCGTGAAGAAGGTGTCCGATATGGAGGTCAGCGTCTGCCGGGAGGTGGAGAAGCGTTTGCCGCCGACGTTAAGGCTGATTATCTCCTCGTCGGCCGTCGACGACTGCTTCTGTAGGAGGTATGAGTGACTCAAACACTTCTTCATCGCCGACATCNTGCGTCCCGACAGGAGGGCCGTGAAGAAGGTGTCCGATATGGAGGTCAGCGTCTGCCGGGAGGTGGAGAAGCGTTTGCCGCCGACGTTAAGGCTGATTATCTCCTCGTCGGCCGTCGACGACTGCTTCTGTAGGAGGTATGAGTGACTCAAACACTTCTTCATCGCCGACATCCTCGGTGTCCGCACGCGAGTGGTGTCTCCTCTTAAGAGAGAGATACTCTTCAGTGAAATGATAGCTCACTCGCTGTCCTTTTCTCTCTCTCTCTCTCTCTCCCTGGAGATGATAACCCTCTCTCTCTCTCTCGCCTATCCAGGGAAGTGGTGACAGTCTGAATGTCTTCGGTGGTGATGATTACGTGGTTCTTGTAGTGGATGACAGACGTGTGCCGTACGGATGGGTCTTATTGTTGACATCCGACTGATTGGCAAACATTTAAATGCCTTTTCAAGTGAAACGTCAATAATCGGGTCAAAAGTGTACGTAAAATACGTCCACAAAAATGCCCATCAATTTGACGCCAAACACCAACTTTTAAACTTCACATAAAACCACAATTGAAAGCGTTTCAATCGCTAACTACACGCAAACCGCAACTAAACATTACTGTTGAACACCTAACTACCGGTCCATCGCATGCCTGTCCACCGAAACACAATTAAAACATACTAAAAACTCGCTCAAAGTTATTGATAACGTTAAAAAACTGTGAGTCCATTGAAAAAGTCGCTCACATTTTGCAAGTCATTTGAAACGCTCGTCCATTACGTCATTCATGTGACACATAATGCAATCAAAAACTGTTATTTCACACAAACATTGCGTTTAATATCACAACTAATTAGCGCTTAATTGCATCGCAATCGCCGTCATTACCGCCGCTGAGACATCACCGCACGACTGGTCCCAACGCACAGTCACCCGGCCATCGAGTGTCACAACCGGTCGCGCACCTATACCACAGCCAACAGCGCCTATCGGTTCCCATACAGTGATACTGAACGCAAAACTCCTCGTCATCGCCACCGCCATCGACATCGTGTGCGTCCACTCCGAAGACTATGGACGCGACCGTCGAGTCCAGTGTCTCGTCGGACGACTCGACCGTCGACTCGTTGGGTGCGCTCAACATCCGTGACTACAAGACTGAACGCGTGAATCAATTGGGTTTCGAGCCGCAGAAGGAGATCCCGTACAACAGATACCTGCCGTACAGTCACTGTCTGGACGGCGAGGCACTCGACTACCTGTCCCTTATTAAGGCCAACATCGCGCGCACCCTTTGCCTCAACGATAAGCACGGATTTCAATGGATATCAGACCTCTCGAAGTGAGTGCGCGGCGCTTACCATCGATTGTCTCAAATCACGTACCAATTGCTGACCATCTCTTGTATCCGATAGGTATCTAAGACTCTACGGCCAGACCTTCTCCAAGGAGGACCACATATACTTCATTAACACGCTGTACGAAGTGATACTAATCCCAGGCCTCGAGCTCAACCGGGTCTCCCACTACGCCAACGTGTTGTCAACGCTACTCAAGTCTGTATACCATTCCTCTGCATCTACTATCTGTAACCATTGTCTCAAACGCTTAATCCCGTGCCCTATGGTCTCTCTCTTCCACACACAGAAAGCGGGAACTAATCACCCGCGAGGACCTGACCATCGCGTGGCGGCCCCTATACTCGCTGTACGAGCGCACCCTATACTCGCACTACGAGAACTTAGGTATGCTATTCATACCCGACAACTACGAGGCCTCCGTCAAGAATCTGGTCCGCAGTTGTCGGCCGTACTTCTCGGTTGACTCGACGCGCGAAATGCTGGCCGAGTGGCGACCCCTCCTGTGCCCCTTCGACACCGAGATTATCAAAGTGACCGCATATATGGAGCTGTTTCTGCCGACAGCCCTCCCACCCGAGCACCACTGCCACGGCTTTCAGCTCTGGTTCGACGAGTTGATGGCCCTCTGGAACAGCTCACAGAACACGCCCTCCTGGGAGCAGAACCTCATATCGCTGTTCGCACGGCTGGCCAACGACTCGATCGGTTACATCGACTGGAATCCACACATACCGCGCATCTTCACGCACCTGATCCGCAGCTTCAACCTCATGGGCGGCTCCCATAAGGTGCAGATCACGCGCGGCTACAGCGTGTTCAACATCAACTCCGTGGTCTTGTGGGTGGTGGCCATGTTGGGCCCCGGGAGCCACTGTCAGGAGCACGTGACCAAACTGTTCAAGGCGATCGAGTCCTACTACCACCCGTCCAACACCGGCAAGTGGAACCTCAAGCTCCAGCAGTTGCTGTTCAAACTGCCCGCCACTCTCACGAGTCGCCTGCACCGGGAGCGGTATAAAAAGCCCTCGTGGCGCACACCGGTGCCCGACACGCACCGGCTCACCGAACGCGACATCGACGCCTTCGTCGACAGCATCGCCAATGTGGTGATGATCGCGATGTTTAGCCGATTCGGGTCGGCCGAGTCGGCCACCGCTTTGCAGTCCCTCTCCCTCCTGAGGCCCGAACGGGTCATACCGCCGGTGCTCGAGAAGATGTACACGTCGTTGGAGACGCTAACGGAGCCGCACCGGCTGTCGGCGTCCATGCAGTGCGTGGTGTCGATCGCGCGGGCGTTGGTTCGGCCCAATAAGCACTACCCGGAGGGGCCGACGCACGTCATACCCCTACTGTTGAACTCGTTGGACGAATGCTATTCATACCCGTATTGATGGCACTGACCTACTGGTGCTTCATATGCGAGCCAACCCACCCGTCCATCACTGATGAGAGCGTCAGACCTTTGATTAGTGACTCCAATGATATGCCATCCCTTGTGGACAGCGGTGGCGGCGATGAGACACACGTTTTGCCACAAAATACTAGTCATTCACACGAATTAACCGCTTATGAGAGGACTGTTTTCGTCATTGTATGCAATCGTTTACAGAATATTCTGTATATTCTGTTATTAATTGTGTTTTTATTTCAGAAACTATTGAAATATATGATACCATTAATGATGGTTTACTTGTTTGAATACTTTATTAATCAGGGATTGGTATGTGTTTTGAATTGTTTTTGCAAATTATGTATTGATTTGTATGCATATTATAATGAATTGATTGTGCGTTTAGTTTGAATTGGTTTACTTCCCACACATATGGCTCTCCCATAGGGAACAGTATCGCTGGTATAACGTTGACTATCAGGTGATTGTCCACCACTTTACGACTTGATTGTCGTTTAAATGGCTATTAATGTGTGTTTTTGTATAACAGATCGGAGTATTGATATCGAGATCATCGCTAAGTTTCGTGAAAATCAGGAAATTATATGTTTTAGCGATCCTTCAGTTTATCAATGTTTTAGTCGTATTGACACAGATTTGGCTCAAATTTATGCCCAATATTTGGGTGATGTTAGCGCTGGTGCTGTTCGAGGGTCTGTTAGGTGGGGCCGCGTATGTCAACACATTCCACCGCATCTACACTGAAGTGAACGATAAGTACAAAGAGTTTGCGTTAAGTATCACTACTTTGAGTGATTCCGTGGGCATTACGATCGCCGGCTT